GCAACGCGTGGTAGACACTTAAAATAAACCATCCAGAGGCAACTACGGGGAAACTATAATAAGCCTGACAACAATAGACAACGAGAGGAAACGTCAAATGTGAGGCATCTAATGTTAAATTTAAGGCCACATACATATGTTTTGAAAATATTTATTTATTTCTCAGATATGCAGGTTCCACCACATTTCTTCACCGAAATTGTGACAAGTGAACAATTCAAATTGCAATTATATATATAGATATATACATCTATAGTCTAATACTAACTGAAAATATTATTATGCTAGGAGATTTTAATGGAAGGGTTGGGGTGAGGAGGCTTGGTTATGAAAGGGTATTGGGAACGTTTGGTGATGAAAGTATAAATGAGAATGGTGAAAGCCTCCTCACCGTATGTGTGGAAAGGAATCTTTTTGTGACGAACACTTTCTTTCGTCATAAGAAGATTCACATGTATACTTGGGAAAGAGGTGATCATAGAAAGAAGCATGATAGATTTCATAACTGTGGATGAAAGAATGAGGAGCGGAGTGGTGGATACAAGGGTTTACCGGAGGTCCAACGTAGGGACGGACCACTACCTGGTCTTATGCCGAATTAGGGGTTTATTCAGACGTTGGCGGCATTGGACATCTGTGTCTACCACTGCGTTACAGCGTATAAGAATTGAGAGGTTACAAGATTAAGATGTGAAAGACAAGTACAAATGCAGACTGAGAGAAAATATAAGTAATTTGGATGAGTTGTGTGTATATGAGTTAGACTTGGAGAATGTGTGGCATAATGTTAAGAAAGGTTTAGTGGATGCAGCTACCGAAGTATGTGGTGTTAGTAAGAGAACGAATGAAAGGAAAGACAATACGTTATGGTGGGATGATGAGGTACGTATGGAAGTTGAAGCAAAGAAGAGAGCATGGCTAGATTTACTAGTAACCAAAGCTGGTAATTCTGGCGGTAAGAATGATGAGAATGAAAGAAAAAAGGCAGAGTTTAAACGTTTAAATAAGAGAGTACAAGAATTAGTTGAAAGGAAAAAGCAAGAAAGAACGGATAAGAATGATAGAAGAATATCGGATAACTTCCAGGCAAATATTAAAATGTTCTGGAAACTCGTAAGAAATACTAGGGACATTCAAAACAGCCTAGATTGAATGCGATACGAGACGAGAATGGCTCTATTCTGAATGATGAAGTGTTGAGTCTAAAGAGATGGAAGAAATATTTTGAAAGCGTATTTATGAGTGAGGAGAAGTGTGAACTAAATGAAATAGAAATTCCGAAAGAAGATGAAAGAGATAGGGAGATAAGTATAGATGAAATAATGATAGCAATGAAAAGCATGAAAGTAGGTAAGGCAACCGGATACGATAAGAGTTTCACTCGAAATGCTAAGGGCTGGAGAGGACGTGGTGGCAGGCCTGCTGTACACCTTGTTTAATTTATGCTGGGAACTAAAGCGGGTACCGGGAGACTGGTGCAAAGCCGTGATAGTCCCAATACATAAGGGAAAAGGGTCACAGCAGGACTGTAAAAACTACCGTGGTATCAGCCTTCTTAGCATTGTGGAAAAACTGTATGCTAAGGTTAATTGAAAGAGTTATGAAAGAAACTGATGAAAAATTTTTGGGATGTGCAAGCGGGATTTAGAAAGGGAATGGGGTGTACAGATCAAGTCTTTTCCATGCGCATGATCGCGGAGAAGTTTTTGGCGAAAAACCAAAAAGTTTTTTGTGCGTTCATGGACTTGGAAAAGGCTTATGACAGAGTGGACAGGGATGTGTTATGGCAAACGCTGAACGCATTTAGGTTGAGCGATGGTTTGATACAGGCATTAAGGTCTCTGTATAGGGATTCGAGTGCTTGTGTTAGAATCAACGGGGTCTACTCGGACTGGTTTGGCATCCATAAAGGTGTCAGACAGGGCTGTGTAGCTTCCCCGTGGCTGTTCAACCTATTTATGGACAGCTGTGTGGAAAATTTGAAAGTTGTAGAATGCGGATTAAGAATGGGTGAGTTAACCATCAAATGCCTTTTGTACGCCGATGATCAAGTCATACTTGCGTCGTCGGCGGCCGAGTTGCAAATGATGCTTACATTAATGAACAGGTCATTAAAAGAAAGGGGAATGAAAGTGAACGCAAGTAAGACGAAAGTGATGGTTTTTGAAAGAGGAGAAAGCAAAACGGTATGTGAAATAAGAATAGAAGGAGAATTAATTGAGCAAGTGGATGAGTTCGTATATTTGGGATGTGTATTCAGCAGGGATGGGAGATATGATAAGGATATTGTGAGTGAATGCAGGAAATAAAGTAAATGGGGCTCTACACTCTATTGTGAAAAGTCTGAATGTGGCAAAAAAGGCACGTATGGCAATTCACAGTGCTGTGTTAGTCCCTACTTTAACGTATGGTAGTGAAAGTTGGGTGTGGCAGAAGAAGCATGAGAGTAGAATAAATGCAGTAGAAATGCGGTCGTTAAGGAGTATGTTAGGGCTGAATCTGAGTTACAGGGTGAGAAACTGTGTGATAAAAGAAGAGTGTCTTTGCAAGATGATGCGGTGACCAGGATTAAGAAAGGAATGCTTCGGTGGTTTGGTCATGTAGAAAGAATGAATGCGGAAAGACTGACAAAGCAAATATATGTTGCAGAAGTGAATGGAAGAGTCGGAAAGGGACGTCCTAGGCGGAAGTTTGTCGACCAAATTGGCGATATACTAAAAATGGGCCAAATTAAGAGTACCCTTAACCGACGAGCATGTATGCGTAGGTATATGGATGTGGAAGAGGCGAGAAAGGTATGTCAGAATCGTGCTAAATGGAAGTCTATAGTCTCTGCCTACCCCTCTGGGTGACAGGCGTAAGTGTTTATGTATGTATTATGTTATCTAATACTTGAATTTACAAAAAGATGGATTCTATGTGTAACTATTTTATAGTGATATATGTTTTCTTTCTATTATAATCATTATAACTAATATCATTAGTAATACATGGTAGAGCCACGCTCTCACAGGATATCAGCTCACAGATTACTATCAGACCGAATGTACGCTCGTTTCGATATATAAGTAGTATACATGACTGTCTCATCGTTTATTGGTCTTAAACGCGACTGCTGATCATCCCGGGTTCGAATCCTGGTTCAGGTCAAAATCATTTATTGGGTTTTTCTGTTCAGAAACATTAGTAGCATCCCGGAGTCAGGAAGTTGGCGGTGTTTTATCTCCGGAAGACATGTAAAGCCGTAGTTTCTGCGCCTGATCTCCGGTCGTGTTGGGTTATAACCTGAGTGAGGGAATATAGTGTACCTGAGTTTGCGCACACATTTGGGCACTATAATCCTAACCTGCGCGAAAGACTAGTCTTCTTTCAGACTGGCCGATATGACTGTAATTGTGTTTGGAGGACATTATTATTATTACATATACATATACATACATTAAAAAAATTACAACGCGAAACAAAATTTCTTAGGATGAAATTATTCGGTAATTGTGATCAGAAAAAGATGAACATTATCGTTGTCATCAGCCCAAGAAACAACCTCTTAAAAATACAGGATTTATATTAACTAACTCGCCTTGCAAATAGATGATCGTAGTACGAGGCTTTGTATTTAAGACTCAAGCAGGCATTAACTTTAGCGCAAAGACCATATTACAAAATGCAGGTAGCTTAGGCACGTTATTAACGGCAGTCCTTGAGAGCAAGAACGTCATTAGCGGCAATATTTGAGCCTTTAATGAGGACTTGAGAAGCGCTAAAATATTAATGCCGACGATGACGAAGATGAAATCAATCAATTCATAGTAAAATCAGTAGGGACGTTTTACTCGTAATTTAAGATGTATTACCAATATGATTTCTTTACCACTGTCCTTTTTTCATTACAGCTGCCTGTATTGGATCCAGAGAGCTACGTCCCTTGGAATGTTGTACCATAGTAATTATGTATATTTTTTTACTCAAAATAAATTCTTATTAAAGTAATATCAGAAACCTTTTGTAGTAATGTTGTTTTATTATGTAAACTATTAAAAAATAAAAGCCATTGAGTAAAATTATTTATTTAAAATCGTATCTATATAATACATTAACTGACCAATAAAGCATTTCTTCAATAAATTAATTATAAACGCAGCCTAAGCAGTCGTTACTGAAAATTGGAATAAGTACCTTTGATTAAATTTTATTGCGCAATATATCGCAAATTCTATTTCTGTTTTAGACCAACGTATATAAAATCATAAGAATATGAAAACTAATACAACATAAATACATACAAATATTATTTTTACTGACTGTTAAATATGGCCTTACAAAGACATTACGCATAATGGACAACATTCTGATATACATTACATACATAAGCAAGATAAGAATAAAAGTTTTACTATATATATATAATTACTTAACTGATGGAAACGAGAAATCAGGTACAAATTAATAAAATTTGTCTATATTCTTCAATGACGTTATTAGTAAAAGTTTGAAAATGAAAAAGAAATTTAAAGAAGTTTTTGGTGTCCCTGTACTATGCAATTTATTATAACTAATAAAAGTCTTTATAAAATAACCTTTCCAAATGGTAGCGTATGCTTTGATGTTCAGATATAGGCAACGCAGAGTTACAGAGCTATTTTATGTTGAAAAAAAAAAGATTAAAAAAGGTTAAAGGTAATAGGAACACAAAACCTTTTAATGTAAGAGTATCAGAATACTTTTGAGTTTTTATTAATTATTTTCAAGGAGTATAAAGAGGAAATAGATTATGTTCTAATTTTGTTGTTTAAAAATAACATTGTATTATGAAAATAATAAATCTAAGGCTTTCATGAACCTGCTTGATACTGACTGCTTGAAACTGACTGATTAAAAAAAATATTCCCAATATTTAACCATTATTTAACTGTATCCCAATCAACAAAATTGTTGCTCCAACAACTTATTTTGGCCTTTTTAAAGATCATACTGAATAACTATTACAAACTAAATTCGTTTCACTTATCCGATTCCGATGAGCACCCTGATCCTGAACTGGGACCTGTAATAAAAAAGTTTTTTCAATTATGAATTTTTAACTAAGAATAAAATTTGTACTGAATTTACGCTAAATCCTTATTTATTATTGCAGTTGTTAAAAAAAAACTAACTGCTGGATAAATATCTCTCTAAGACGTGATTTTTTTAATATAATTAAACATATTTTTGCACCTGAGGCACAACTTTGGTATTTTTAAGACAAATTAAAATTGAAACTGTATAATCAATATATGCACTAATTTTACAGATTTTATCGCATTTAATTTTAACTCCTTAATTCTTGACGTTTTGGGCCAGGTGTTTTCTGAAACAAAGATTTACTCAAGGTTGCTAACTGTGATGGATGGTGGTGAGATTCACTATTTAATGGATGGATAGATGGTATGGATCTTTTACCTATGCACAGTGTAACCAATATTGTTATCAAGATATCGGATGACTAAAATATCTAGAAAAGCTAAAATCATTTGCCTCTAACTCCACTGTGAATTGTATTTTAGAGTTTATGGAGTTAAGTTCTACAAGCGGTACGTAGACGACATTTTTACAATTTTTCCATATGACAAAGTAACTGCAGTTTTAGACCACCTTCGGTCAAACTAAACGTCGGGGATTAAAAAGGTAACAAAATGCAATAGAACCCGTAAAATTAGTTTCATTCAATGAAACTATAGTTAGGATGAAACGTTGTGCTTGCTAATCACACCAAAATGTGTTCCAACACAGGTATTCTTATCTTCATCAATCAATCTTTAAAGTTCACAGACTTCTCCAAGAATGGGCTATCAGGCATGGATTTTCAATGGCGGTTTTATACTCGCACGAGTGCTGTGATGATTGTACACGAGTGCGACCATATACACTTTCACCTAAATCAGTTGTCCTCGTGAAGTTCGAGTGTTCGTGAACGAATATACGAAAGTCGGTGCTGGTTTTGGTCTGTGTGCTACACGGAGCAAATATAAAGAGGAGACGGACGAAGCGACTGTGCACTGTGATTCTAACTAAGTCCTGACGTCATCACAGTGGGCGTGGCTTTAGTTAGTATACTGTCAGCGTTCGTCCTGTGCGCATCGGTGTCGAAAATTGGAAATCAGTGTATTTTCGTATTATTAAGAAGAAAAGGATGAAGTGTTGTGTTTTATCGTGTAAAAACTACTCAGATAGACGCTCTGATGCTATGGATGGTATCACATTTCATGTGTAAGTAATTATATATCTAATTTCTTAAAATAATTCTAGAAAGATCTCTTTGCATCGGATTTCAAATATAATTAAATATATTCGATACTAGATGGCAGCACTTTGTGTCGTGTGAACTAAAAATATATAGGTAAGTCGAGCTCAGTATTAGTAAAACAATCATACGAAGGTGCTGAAATTGTTTTTTTTTGAAGTTGGTTTCAGTCCTAAAGAATTTTTAATCGCCAAAATATTACCTTTATAGATTTTATAATCATTTTGTAAACAGGCCGCCATCTACCGTCAAGTAAAAGAACAATCAAAAATAAAATAAAAAGACAGGGCCGTAATTAGAATCCAATTATTTTACCCAGTTACCCACGGCTTAAAATTAAGGAAATATTACTTAGGCTGATTTTTTTACGAAAGACCTACAATGTATATAAATACTTAAATATTTAGCATTTTGTAAAAGTCAACCTTCAAGAAATATTCATTTTATCCTTAGTAAAATAAAGTCTTCTTGAAATTAAATATTTTATGTACAGTATTCAGTCTCCTTGAAACTTTTCTTAAGAAAGACGACTATTATAACAGTTGTAGTTCAGTTAGTTAAAAAGCTCACCTAGGTTATTTTATTTACTTTATATTCTAGATTTCCATCCGAAGATAATCTTAAACAGCAATGGATAGCAAAAATTAATAGAAAAGACTGGACTCCGACAAAATATACAAAGATTTGTTCGTGCCATTTCAATGATGACAACTTCACAGTTACAAAAAAAGGCTTTAAAAATTAAAGCAGGGAACTTTACCCAGTATTAATCTGGATATATCGGTTCGTTTGGATGCACTTTGTATTTTACTAGTTTTCTTATTTTGGTAGAAGGAGTTAATTTCATATTGTTGTTTTATACTTTATATAATAGATTAAAAGAAAATTACCAGACCCCTCAATATCACCACCTAGGCCTACCACAAATGATTTAAATGAATTTTTAATATTTCACGATTCCCCTAGAAAGAAGAAGCTAAAGCGAGAGATAGAACAACTTCGATGGAAATCGAAAAAAAGATGGGCTAAAGATCAGAAGACTTGAAATGAAAGTTAAACGTTTGAAAAAGAAGGTGCTTATATAGTGACACTACTTTCGCTTCACATACAACTTTAAGATGTTTTGTTTCTAAATGTAATATGCTTTAAGTACGTTTCGCTTTTGTTTTAGGTTCAAAATTTAACTGTTAAATTTTGAACAAAATTCAGAACAAACATCTTTTACAGGGAGAGGATTCCGAAATTTTATCTTCAATAAATGTAAAGTTGAAAGACTTGGTTGGGCGTCAGTAGTATACCGACACATACATACGACATAATAGTCCAGCCGTTAGTCAGCGTGAAAAAATAACACATTTACAGTACGTAATTAGCGTGGGATAAGGTCAAGGAGAAAGAAAGAACACACAAACTTTTGCTTTTATAATATTAGTGAAATTATTAGGATTATTGTTATAGTAGGAGTAGGTTTTTTTTTTCATAATAATATCGGTATTTCAATTTAGAAAAAAGATGTAATTACAAGACGATTCACAAAATTAATCTTGAAATAAATACTCCCTGGTACGAAATTTCTGAGTACGTCCCCTTATATCCCACACCAAGCGTAAGGTAGCTAAACTACATTGCAACATCGATATGGAACGATGCGAGTAGTTTTACTATTTACCGGTAGATGGAAAATAGTTAAGTGGTCGGCGCTTAATACCCCTCACCCCGCAAATTGTCACGCGTTGTTACATTTTTTTTTTTTTTTTTTTTTTTATAGAATAGGGTGACAAACGAGCACACAGTCCACCTGATGGTAAGTGGTTGCTGCGGCCCATAGACATCTACATCTATCCTCCATTAAAAATCAAAATGCAGATGCGTTGTCACCCGTGAGGACTGAGATGGAATGCCTCGTTTCCAGTAAAAAGGGTCTCCGGTTCTCTACACTCACCATACGAAATACAGCAGCATTAAGCTACTATTTCACGCTGGTATTCTGTGAGAGCGTGGTCCTTCCCCGGTCGAGCCGACCCATTCGTGCTACAACTATACTACTAATATAACTGCAGCATGGCTCTACCACGTAAAAAACATAACAACATAGTGAAATCTAATTATAACACCTCCTCTTTATATTTGCTCCGTGGTGTGCTATCAATAATTATAAATATTGGGTCCTTACATATGAAATTAGCGTTTTGTCGTACTGACCACTTTGATATCTCCCATTTGGTTGAGGATTCCATATTCTAATTTATAAATTCATTTAGCTGGTACATTTGAGTTTTGAAAAAAGTCATTCATTTGTTTTTTCCGCGTTTTTTTTTTCTTTGGCGTCGCTTATTACCGCACAATAGAAAACTTAAAATATCGGTATATTTACGAGTACGAGTTCTACCGTGGCACCAGTGCTGCAAAAACAGCTCGAAGGATTAATGATGTATACAGCGCCGGTGTCACAAAAGAAAGCATGAAACGTTTTTGGTTTCAACATTTTCGTTCACGAAGTTTCGACCTTCAGGACCAACCCCGAGGACGGCCGGAGACCAAAGTGGAAAATGAAGAATTAAAAGCTATTGTGGAAGCGGATCCATAACAAAGCACTTCAGAAATCGCTGCAGGCTTCGGGGTAAGTGATAAAGCTGGATTAATCCAGTTGAAGCAAATCGGGAAAGTAAAAAAACTTGAACGGTGGGTACCTCATGAATTGAGTGAATCGAACTTGCAAACACGCGTCGACTGCTGTGTTACTTTGCGCAACCGACACAAAAATGAAGGAATTTTAAATTGAATCATTACTTGTGATGAAAATTGGATACTGTACGATAGTCGGAAACGCTCGTCGCAATGACTGAACCCTGGAGACCCAGCTAAATCCTGCCCTTAACGAAAATTGACTCCGAAAAAGTTACTTGTGAGCGTTCGGTGGACTAGCGCCGTTCACTTCAGCTTTCTAAAATCTGGCCAAACGATTACGGCAGATATCTATTGTCAGCAACTGCAAACCATGAAGGAAGAACTAGCTGCTAAACAACCGAGATTGGTCAATCGCTCTAGGCCACTGCTGCTTCACGACAACGCAAGACCACACACTGCACAACAAACAACCACTAAGTTAGATGAGCTACAATTGGAATGCCTGCGACATCCACCGTACTCCCCGGACCTTACTGCAACAGATTGCTATATTTTCCGGAATTTGGACAACTTCTTACATGGAAAAAAAAATCAACTCCGATACGGCAGTACAAACCGCCTTCAAAGAGTTTATTGATTCTCGACCCCATAGTTATTTTTAGTAAAGGGATCAACTACCTATGAGATGGCGAAAGTGCATAGATAAGAACGGCGCATACTTTGATTAATTAAATATATTTTACAAAAAAAATTTCATATGTAAGGACCTATTATAATGAATTAATTTTTTTCTTTTTTATACATAATTGATTTATAAAATATACCTGAGTGTCTCGAGTATCTAGAGCGGCGGCGCGGTTGTCTGGTAGGGCTATCAGAATTATACTCTGTCTCGGTTTCTGGTGGTCCATTACGTATGCGGGAACCACGCCCTTCCGTATACCTAGAACGAAAACGTGTTCAGTCATCGCAATCACTGGGAACAGATTTTCAGGATGTTCTGTTTTCATTTGAACATCCATTTACAGTAGTGTCCAGTAAAAAGTTTATTCTGGCCTTTTTAAGTCTTTTTGTAATCCTCAAATAATTACATAGCATAAATACAGACTCTGAAGCATTTCATCTTAGTCTTCAGGGGTGCCAAGGCATCTTTAGACTTTTTGTATGAAATTGGCTGCAGATGTCCATTGATTGCTGGAGCCACTTAGCATCAGTTGGAATAATTCGTCTGTCACTTCAATTTTATAAAAAAAAAGATTCATAGCACGATTATATCTCGGTCACTCACAATAAAACTTGAAAAATTCACTTAACTGGCCCGACGCAGCAGGCAGGCTTGGAGTTAAAACTCGGAGAGCGATAGATACTTTAGATGTTTAGATACAAACACTTAAACTTTATGAAGAGGAAGGCAGAGTTGTTGTGGGGTATGTTCCAAAATAGAAACCAGTGTACTGTCCAATGCAAATGATGTCATAAATCGACGCTATACTGGTGATTCGTTCCAGAATATAGGATATATGATGTCATACATTTGCGCCATATTGGAAGAGTGTTGGCGATTATTTTGTCATTTTGTGCTCCAAAAATCATTATATCTTCCTAATGGAGATACCAGCAATTATTCTATAATTTTTTTGTATTTGAATAAATAAAAACGAATTCTGGCATGCTTCATTCAGCGCACACACAGTTAAAAATTGTTTTATTATGACCGAATATCCGACACAATATGGCGGCGGCATGCCAGTACTATATAGTGTCAATTGATGACGTCATTTGTATTCGGCAGTATACTGAAAACGTTTTGGACCTACCCCAAATATATAAAGTGATAAACTGCAGAAACTTGAGCACCTTATAACGCTAAATTAGACTTTGAGACTTTGATGTTAAAATATATTAATAAATAAATAAAAAGTATATAAATATATATTATAATGTAAAACGGTAAGAAGCTAGTTTATATGAAAAATAAAACCTTAAATAATTTACCTCTCTCTCGATCGTCTCCTGGAGCGCGGCGAGTAAGGAGAACGACGACTGCGCGGTGAGTAGCGGCTATCTGGCGAGTAGCGCACCGTTTCCGGCGAGTAGCGGCTCTCCGGCGAGTACCTACTCTCTGGCGAGTAGCGACTCTCCGGCGAATAGCGTCTGTCGCTATACCTGTAAATTACATATCATATCATATCAAAGCAAATTGCTCTATAAACAAGGTAAGTTGGAAATTAAACGACAAAGTTAGTGTTTACAGTGAAAAAAGAAAACGTCTCCATATTCGTCACAGTTCTACGTTGTAGAGCCATGCTGCAGATATATTTTGGTTGAAGCACGAATGGATCGGCTGGAACAGAGAGGGACCACGCTCTCACAGAATACTAGCGTAAAATAACCGCTTAAACTGCTGTTTCGTATGGTGAGTGTAGAGAAACGGCCTCCATTTCCTTTTTACTGTAAATCAAGCATTCCGTCTCAGACCTCAGGGGTGGACAACGCATCTGCATTTTGATTCTTGATTTAGGATAAATGTACATGTCTATGTGCCACAACATCCACTTACCATCAAGTGGAATGTGTGTTCGTCACCCTTATTCTATAAATAAAAAAAATGAAAAACATCCGTTTAGATCACAGCTCCAACTGAAATTGTAGTTGGAAAAGTTTGTAATTGTAAATTTTTTACATGATATATCTAAAATTACGATCTAAAATATTTTTCTTAAACTGTACTGAGTCCTTGCTCCTTGCCAAATTTCATGATTCCAGGTCAACAGAGAGTACCCAGGAAGTAGGTTTACATGGATGAGTTCGCGAGTATCAAAATATGTGACATAAATAGCCGTATCTTTTGATTCCATTGACTTAAAAACTTGAATTTTTTACACTTTCAAGGAACCATCTACCTGTACCGGTTTCTAAGAAAACGAGTGTTGTTAATAAAGTGAACCTATAAGGTTTCATTTCACCTCTTGACGTACGGAACCCTAAAAAATACACAATCCTGGTTATACAAAACACGGACTAAAGAAACAAGTAACTAACGTAATTTTTAGGAGTGTCGATTACTTTGACTAAGAATTAATTAATATAGAAAAGAATCAAGATTTTTTCGCTATAAAAAATTCAAAGTCCAAGAAAATAAATTGAAAGGGGCACAAAATATTCTTTACTGTTGTGGAAAAGTTTTTAATTTCGTATAAAACTAACCAGTTAAACCACGTGCTAGTAATGATCTATGAAGTGGTCCATTACAAGTTATAAATATTATCTGTATCAATTCATCTTGCAGGGTTTTATTTTTTGATCAGGCTATAAAATAAACTTTTTTTTTAACATCTTGAGATGTGACTGCGGCTCTACATTATCGCCGTGAAGTTCCGTAAACAGGCGCGAACGTGAATGTGGATGGTTTTCGCGGGATTCACGCGCTTGTTCCCCGATCAGAGTCAGTATTTTGTCCCGCGACAAAAGGTTCACGCACACTTCGCGCGGCGTTCACGCGTATACGTCCACATTCACGGGCCCGTGCCAGCTACTACAAAGGCGTAGTCCGTAACGAACGATGATATTTTAGTCATATACCATCTTCTTTTTGTCCTCAACGCTTTCTACTAAATTTCTTGTTTTGGACGTCTAAATAGACATATGTTGCCACAGCAAATAAAATTATTGCAGCAGCAGCTTCTACGACCGCGGCGGGTTTCACGAACGATTGTGAGCATCCCGTGAATGTGGAGGGCACGACTTGTGCCGTGAATTCATGGCGTGAATTCGCGCGTGAATTCACGGCGATAATGTGGAACCGCCATGATAATATATTCCTAGGACTCGTGGCTAGGTAATACATAACTTTAAAGAAAAAACAATTTAGTATTAAATATAAGGCTCATCTTCAATTTGCAGTTTCAAGTAATAAAAATAACTGTTTACAAAATTACCTAGGTGGGTGGGGTGAAGGCAGTCTCCCCAGTGGCGGTGGTCGGGGCAAAGGCGGTAGCAACGGTGGGGGCAAGAAAGCTAGCGGTGGCAGTGGCGGCGGTATTACTGCACCATCTACACCCTCTAATGGGGAAGATACTTCTGCAAGAGTTAAATATTTATTAATACTTATGGTTTTGCTAATATTGAATAAACTCGGCCTGACTTATACAACAAAATGGTTGATTTAAAAACAATTTTATACTTGAAATATGTACGCATGCGAATGTAAGTAGTTATAATTTTCTATTTACTGCAACTTCTATCAATTAAAATTTACGGTATTGCTATAAAAACAATTACTTTCTGTTTAAACCAGTATCCAGTTAAATTGAAATAAAATGATGAAATGGTAAAATGTGCTCTTTTTTTAATTCTAGTTTATACAAATATTAAATAGTATTTTAATATCAAATTGTACACTAAAACTAGTCTTCAAAGTATATATATATATATATATATATATATATATATATATATATATATATAAGAATGGGTCCCATATATGCAATAAATGAAACCATATACTTGTTATCGCCTTTACTGACGATATACAAAAAAAAATGAACGTAATCGGTCCAGTAATTAGGTCAAAAAGTATAGTTTTAATTTTAAGCAAATTTGAACACTATAGAATTGGGTCACTAAGTCAATGATTCAATGAACTTGAATCCTTGAACATTAAAAAGCGACGTTGCCACGCAGTGCAAACTATTGGTATTGCGACATATCGACAGCGGTGTCTTTTGTCGGCGTGCCACCCGCGTGCAACGTTGTCACTCTTCCAAAGGGTAAAGGTACGTTGTCTAAACAGAGTGTTCACTTTTACTGAATTTATTTTAATATTTAATTTGTTTCAAAATTTCACTTTTTTATTTTACGGGTTTTAATTTAATATTTAATTTTTCTACACTTCTACGGACTAGTATTACTTGTGGTTTCATTTATTGCATATATGTGGGACCCATTCTGTATATATATATATATATATATATATATATATATAACATATACGAGGGCTGCACTAAAAGTATCGGGAATGGAATATTTCCACTGTTCCTGTCAGATTTTTATCTGAAAACTCCTTGGTTTTAAAAATCGAATACCATTTATTTATTTAAAAAAAGATTCTCGGTCTTGTCACAAGGTTTTGTCAAACTTGTTTAGTCGTTGAGATAATCGAATTGACTCGAGAAAATTCAATAGCGATGATTTATTATGACTTTCGAAGTGGTTTAATACAAAAATAGTGTGTTGACATCGAGTTTGGGTGTTCGAAAATGAGTTAAAACCAACAAAAATTGTTCGTTCACGGAGTGTTGCAAAAAATGGTGGCCACATTTGTCTCCAAAACCGGCCATGTTACGACTATTCCTCTTGAGGGACAAAGAACGGTTAATGCAGAATGGTATGCTAGCATTTGTTTGCCACAGGTCGTTTCTGAACTCCGTAAAGAGAACTGCAACCGCCGCATCATCCTCCATCACGACAATGCGAGTTCTCGCACCGCACACAGAGCAAAAGAGTTATTAGAGCAAGAAAACATAGAATTATTAGACCATCCGCCGTACAACCCCGACCTAAGCCCTAATGATTTCTATACTTTCCCTAAAATAAAGAATAAATTCACACATCAACATCACATTATTTATACTCCACCAAATAAGGAGTGTAGAGGTAACGTAAACAGAGAAACCTATAGACTAATGATTAGCATGGCCTCGATTGAGAAAGGACGATAACGTAGTTTTAGGTTATATAATAATCTTTATGACTTTTAAACATATTTAGATAAAAAATTTAATTGTTCTAAGAACTGAACTGATCAAGATTCACCAAAACAACTTTTGTTCTCACTTAAACCAACTTGTAAACTCCTTAGATCGCTACAGACTGTCTAAGTTGTTTAGCAAAGTGTAGTTTGCTAAATAAAAAACCGGCACGGAGAAAGGGACAAACAATCACACCACTCTGTCTCATTTCTATGCAAGACGTATGCATAAATCTATCGTTTTTTATGTGCGAATGCGAAAGAAGGCGTCAATTTGTCTATAGGTTTGTCTGTCTCCGAGAGGTAAGGAGTACAGACTGTGTATTAAAGTGTCCATAGAAAACCGTTAAATAAGGGTGGCGTCACTATAGCTACGGGCTAAATTTTAAAGAACGTGCTGAAAATATTAGTGGGATAGACGACTTTTTCGAGGTTATATTTACTAAATAAAATTATTTTAGAGCTACTGAGCAGTTTAGCAGCACACTTCAAACCGTCGACAACTGCTAGTTCATTACATCCCAGTAGCTACTCCAGCGCTGTTGTGGAGAGTTTTTGAACTGTTATTTACTGCTTACAGATGGCAACTTTTTCAACTATTCTACTATGGGAGTTGGTACTCCTTACTTCTGCACTCCATACCACCGAATCTAAGAAATGAGTTTTGACAGCTGTCACATTTATTGGTATAAGCATTCCAACTACGTCTTAGAAATCGATACCTGCAATATTCCATTCTTAAAATAAATCGATATCGATTCTTTAGAGTTTGTAATCATATTACAGGTTTATCCAGATTATAATACGAAAATAAATTACAAACAGATTACTCAAAACTCATAATATATCAGTTTCTTCATATTTATAGTTAAAGATATAGTTACATAAATTAAAGATTGATTTTTTTTTTTTTGTTTGTTTGTATTATTTAATTATATTTTGCTTTGTTTGAAAGATTTGAATTCAAATTAGTGGTAAAGAGCTACACATGTTGTAATGAAATATAGATAACTTCTATATTCTAATAGATAGAATGGATTCACGTAAAAAAATATTTTAAATCGTGTAAGTATGCTTGTACAAGCCATTATGCAATTTTTTTTTTTTTTTTTTTTTTTTTTTTTTTTTTTTTTTTTTTATTTTACAACAACTAAAATACATACTAATCAAAGTTCATAAATACAGTGCAACACAAACCTATATAAGATTTTTCTGCACACTGCAGTTCGCCGTCTTTCCAGCGCAAACATTTTAATATTATTTAGAGTAAGAAGGTAGTTCGCTCATTTCTATACAAATAACTTGAGGATGAGTTGTAGTGGCTATTTAGTTAGAGTAGTATACAGGATGTTTGGAGAAAATATTATTTTATATTTTTGGAATATACATATGATAATTATATTACATATAGTAAGTATGTTAGTTTTTAGTTATATCATGTTAGTTGATTCAAAAAGTATGTTTTTAATTTGTATTTAATATTTTTGGGATTGATATTTTCCTTCAAGGTTTTAGGTAGTTTATTAATTAATTTAGGAATAATAATCTTATTTTGTTGATCGCCATACATATTATGAGTTTTAGCTATAATTAATTTAGGGTTATATGTATGTATGATTAATATTTTCGATTTTTAAAACCAAGGAGTTTTCAATTAAAAAGATTTTAATACGACAGGAACAATGGAAATATTCCATTCCCGATACTTTTAGTGCAGCCCTCGTATATATATAGAGTGTTGCAAAAAAAATGGTGGCCACGTTTGTCTTCAAAACCAGCCACGTTACGACTATTCCTCTTGAGCTACAAAGAACGGTTAATACAGAATGGTATGCTAGCATTTGTTTGCCACAGGTCGTTTCTGAACTCCGTAAAGAGAACTGCAACCGCCGCATCATCCTCCATCACGACAATGCGAGTTCTCACACCGCACACAGAACAAAAGAGTTTTTAGAGCAAGAAAACATAGAATTATTTGACCATCTGCCGTACAGCCCCGACCTAAGCCCTAATGATTTCTATACTTTCCCTAAAATAAAGAATAAACATAATGAAAATTCTCAAATTATCACAAAAAATATTTCCTTAGTTATTAAGAGCAAAGCCGAGCGGCGTTTAATCCATAGAAACATAATGCTCAGTTTTCTCCCAATGCCTTCACTGCTGTATACCGGTGTGGACAATCTTTATAATTACAGGCTGTGAGGCATCCCACATTAGTCCTCAGAGGCGACAAGCAACGTATCTATAGCCTTCCATATTTAAAGCTCGTCGGGTGTGTTTATGGGCTGTAGCAGGTAGTTTGTTTGACAATACTTTAAAAAAACTTATTTAATGCTTGCTACCCAGATATAATATCTTCTGAAGGGATTCCAACCGAAAGATTGCAATATTTAACATCATAGATTTAATATGTACGCCATGTAGGTATAAGTAAACAATATGTAATAATTATTCTCAACCAAATTTAAGAAATGACCATTTGATGTTTTATAGTAATCATTGCATAATGGCTTGTACAAGCATACTCACACGATTTAAAATATTTTTTTACGTGAATCCATTCTATCTATTAGAATATAGAAGTTATCTATATTTCATTACAACATGTGTAGCTCTTTACCACTAATTTGAATTCAAATCTTTCAAACAAAGCAAAATATAAATTAAAATACTATAATTACAAAGTATATAAAGTGACGGATAAAACAAAGAAACTTTTATAATCGACTATGAAATAGACATTTATTGTAAATGCATTATATAAGATCAAATAATAATTAATGTAAACGACGATAATGGTGAAGACAGTTCAACTAGTAGTAATGAAATAATTAAATAAATTTGTTTTTAATCTAGTGCAATCTTTAATTTATGTAACTATATACATACATACATAAACACTCACGCCTGTCACCCAGAGGTGTAGGCAGAGACTACAGACTTCCATTTGGCACGATCCTGACACACCTCTCTCGCCTCCTTCCCATCCATACACCTCCACATACATGCTCGTCGGTTAAGGGTACTCCTAATTTGGCCCGTTTTCAATAAATCGCCATTTGGTCGATAAATTTTCGCCTAGGACGTCCCTTTCCGACTCTGCCATTCACTTCTGCAACATAAATTTTCTTTGTCACTCTTTCCTCATTCATTCTTTTCACATGACCAAACCACCAAAGCATTCCTTTCTTAATCCTGGTCACATCATCTTGTGTGTCATTAACTATATCTTTAACAATAAATATGAAGAAACTGATATATTATGAGTTTTGAGTAATCTGTTTATAATTTATTTTAGTATTATAATCTGAATAAACCTGTAATATGATTACAAACTCTAAAGAACCAATATCGATTTATCTTAAGAATGGAATATTGCAGGTATCGATTTTTAAGACGTAGTTGGAATGCCTAGTCCAATAAATGTGACAGCTGTCAAAAGTCATTTCTTAGATTCGGTGGTATGGAGTGTAGAAGTAAGGAGTACAAACTCCCATAGTAGAATAGTTGAAAAAGTTGTCATCTGTAAGCAGTAAATAACAGTTCAAAAACTCTCCACAACAGCGCTGGAGTAGCTTCTGGGATGAAATGAACTAGCAGTTGTCGACGGTTTGAAGTGTGCTGCTAAACTGCTCAGTAGCTCTAAAATCTAAAATAATTTTACTTAGTAAATATAACCTCGAAAAAGTCGTCTATCCCACTAATATTTTCAGCACGTTCTTTAAAATTTAGCCTGTAGCTATAGTGACGCCACCCTTATTTAACGGTTTTCTATGGACACTTTTTAATACACAGTCTGTACTCCTTACCTCTCGGAGACAGACAAACCTATAGACAAATTGACGCCTTCTTTCGCATTCGCACATGAAAAAGATAGATTTATGCATACGTCTTGCATAGAAATGAGACAGAGTGGTGTGATTGTTTGTCCCTTTCTCCGTGCCGGTTTTTTATTTAGCAAACTACACTTTGCTAAACAACTTTGACAGTCCGTAGCAATCTAAGGAGTTTACAAGTTGGTTTAAGTGAGAACAAAAAGTTGTTTTGGTGAATCTTGTTCAGTTTAGTTCTCAGAACAATTAAATTTTTTATCTAAATATCTAACAATTAAATTTTTTATCTATATAAAAACTACGTTATCGTCCTTTCTCACTCGAGGCCATGCTAATCATTAGTCTATAGGTTTCTTTGTCTACTTTACCTCTACACTCCATATTTGGTGGAGTACAAATATTGTGATGTTTTACGTCTGTGTGGAGAGGCGGCGCCGTCGGCCGCAGTGAGGGAGGCGAGCTTGCGGCGCAACGCGGCGGCGTCGTCGCGCGCCGCGTCCGCGTCACGCCGCGCCGCGCGCGCCTCCAGCCACGCGGCGTGCGCGCGCGCCTCTACCTCGCTCACGGCCGTGCGCCGCGTCGACTCCGCCTCCGCCAGCTCCAGCGTTAGCGCGTCGCATTTCTCTCTGAAAATAAAACAGGCTAGCACTATCCAACAAATGGAGCCATGTATATTAGCTGCTTTTCACATTAAGTCAAAGTCAAATATCTTTAATCAAAATTGACTTTTACAAAGCACTTTTTGAAAGTAAAATGCTACTGCCAATCAATAAATAGTTTTTTTATAGAATAAGGGTGACAATCGAGCACACAGTCCACTTGATGGTAAGTGGATGCTGTAGCACATTGACATCTACATTTATCCTCGATTAAGAATCAAAACGCAGATGCGTTGTCACCACTGAGGACTAACATGGAATACCTCGTTTCCAGTAAAAAAGGGTCTCCGGATCTCTACACTCACCATACGATACACAGCGGCATTGAGCTGCTATTTTACGCTTTCTGTGAGAGCGTGGTCCTTCTCTGGTCAAGCCGACCTATTTGTGCTACAACCATAATATAGCTGCAGCGTGGTTCAACCACGTATAAAACATAAACAAGTAGCCATATAAATTAAACATGTCTGATGGGTTAACAAAGTTGGTTTTCTACAATCGTTCACACTAATAGAATTAAAAAAAAAATACTTATAATAAAAGTAAAAGTCAACTTCAAAGAGCTAGAAAGAATTAAATAATTTCAAGCATTAACTTTAGAATGGAAACTAATTTTTTGTAGTGTTTTGATTTTTACTTTGTATAAGTTTTATTTTTTATAATTATGAGTGCTAAGGAATATCACATATCTCAATGCCATATAAAGCCATATAAATTCGTGATATTGCTTTACCCTCAAAGAAATATCACGAAGATATCATATAAATTCAAATACAAAAGTCCGAAATACTTTATTCCTTAAACTATAAAAAAACATACAGGCGAATTGAGAAAATCTCCACTTTTTTCTTTCGAAGTTGACTATAGACTATAAAAACGAATAGTAATGACGTTATCTTAGGTTAATATTGATTTGATTTATTTCATCATCATCATCATCATAATTAAAGCCCTTCACAAGTCCACTGCTGAACATAGGCCTCCCCCAAGGTATGCCAAGCACAGTCCTGAGCCACCTGCATCCATAGACTTCCTGCGTGTTTTAACAGGTCGTCACTCCATGTAGTGGGGGGTCGCCCTACACTTCGCCTACCGGTACGAGGCTGCCACTCGAGAACCTTTTTTCCTCAACGGTTGTCGGTTCTACAAGCTATATGGCCGGCCCATTGCCACTTCAGCTTACTAATTGATTTATTTATGTAAATATTATTTTGAAAATGTAAGTGACAACCAGATTTCTTTTCTGAACAGGTCATAAAATATGGCAATTACGGGTATGTTCCGAAATACAACGCAGTGTACTGTCCAATGAAAATGACGTCATGAATCAACGCTATACTGGTGATTCGTTCCAAAACATTGGTCAGTATATGACGTCATACTTTTGCGCCATTTGGAAAAGTGTTGGCGATTATTTTGTCATTTTGTGCTCCAAAATCATTATATCCTCCTAATGGGTATACCATCAATTATTCTAAATATTTTGTGTTTGAATAAATAGAAACAAATTCTGGCATGCTTCATTCGGCAAACACACAATTAAAAATTGTTTTATTATGGCCGGATATCCGACACAATATGGCGGCGGCACGCTAGTACAATAAAGTGTCAAATGATACGTCATTTGCATTGGACAGTACACTGCGTTGTATTTCGGAACATACCCTAGATAACTAGCTTTGACTAAGACTTTTATTACAGTGTTTTATAAGGGTTCAGTAGACTAATGCAATTGTTTCATTTCTTCTTTGTTTTTAATTATTTATTTTTTTCGATCTTGAATTAAAAATGAAATTATACCTAGGTGAATTGAAAAGTACTCGGTCTAACATAGATCCATTCAATTCTAAAAATCAAATCTACCCACATTATTTAGTTCAGTTCAGACTAGTTCATTGTGTGAAGTTCGAAACGTGTGCGATAATTAGTTGTGATTTTATAAATTTATTAACAAAGTAATCGGACATAATTTCCGCGAATGGAGCAAATCGAGCAGCGTGCCGTCATTAAGTACCTCCATAAGAAGGGGCTATCATCAAAAGCCATCCATGATGACATGGTTTAGTACATTAGGCGATTGTGCTCTGTCATATTCATCCGTCAGAAAATGGATAGCAGAATTTAAGCGTGGTAGAGAGAGTGTGAAAGATGAACCCCGCTCTGGAAGGCCTTCGACGTCAACTACTGAAGAAAATATTAAAAAAGTACTTGATTTAATAATGGGAGACCGCAGATTAAACATTAAAGAGATAGCCCAGATTATAGGCATCTCTTATGAACGAACTCAAAACATTATTGTCAACGAGTTGGGTTTCCACAAGGTGTCTGCGAGGTGGGTTCCGCGACTGCTTTCAGTTGAACAAAAAAGGACGCGATTGACTATTTCACGCGACTGTTTGGAGTTATTTGAAGCCGATGCAGATGATTTTTTGAATCGTTTTGTTACTATGGACGAAACATGGGTTCATTACTGTACACCGGAAACAAAACAACAATATAAACAGTGGAGAAGACCTGGTTCACCACCCCCTAAAAAGGCTAAGTCGATTTTGTCGGCAAATAAGGTGATGGCTTCAGTATTCTGGGACTCTAAAGGTGTGATTATGATTGATTATCTTGAAAGGGGTCAGACTATAAACTCTGATTACTACTGCACCTTACTACGTCGTTTACGAGAGAAAATAAAAGAAAAACGTCGAGGAATGCTCAGAAGAAAAGTCCTGTTTCATCAAGATAACGCCCGTGTTCACACGTCAGTACAGTCAATGGCTGAAATTCACAACTGTGGCTTTGAACTGTTACCGCATCCGCCGTATTCACCTGATCTGGCACCATCAGACTTCTTTCTGTTCCCTAACCTAAAAAAGCACTTGGGAGGTCAAAGATTTTCGACAAACGACGAGGTCAAAGCAGCTGTAGATGCATAATTTTGACTCTAAGGAAGAATCATTTTTTTTTCAACGGTCTAAATGCTTGGAAGGGGAGGTGGCAAAAGTGTATTGAACTTGATGGTGATTATGTAGAAAAATAAAAATATAACTGATTTAGTATGTGTTTATTTTCTTGGTTAGGCCGAGTACTTTTCAATCCACCCTCGTATTATAAATCAATAGTACCAACATAGAATGTTATTTTTTTATTTAACAATACAGAATATTTTTAAACAATCCCTTTATAAGCAAACACCTCTATTTATTGTAAAACGAACATGAGTACATTGATCAAGTGTGGGGACGGCTCACAACTTGACAGATAATGTCTTATGGATGGCTTTTTTTATAGAACAAAGGTGACAGACAAGCACACAGTCCATCTGATAGTCCTGTAGCCCATAAACATCTACATTTTTTCTTGATTAACAATTAAAATGCAGATGTGTCTTTACCCCTAAGGACTAAAATATTATGACTCGTTTTCAGTAAAAGGGTCTCTGGTTCTCTACACTTACCGTACGAAACACAGCAGTATTAAGCTGCTATTTTACGCTGGTTTTCTTTTAGAGCGTGTTCCTTCCCCAGTCAAGCCGACCCATTCAAGATATTGACTTATACTCCTTACATCCTGCAGGTGTTCATCCTGCTTGCATAGTCGATAGTTATCTATTATTCGAAAGATGTCACTCTCAATGACATCATCATATTCATATTGTGTGAAACGAAATAATTTGAAATTTTTACTATATTATTAAAAAATAAAATAAAAACTTACTTGTATCTTTGTAGTTCTTGTTGTAAAAGCTCTATTTTTTCTATAGTGCTTGCTGATTCGCCTTGTTTGCCGAGCCATAGTGATTCTTTAGCACTCAATTCCCTGCAAAAATGTAATGGGTATGGTAATGATTAACAAATTTTATTATAAGAATAGTTTAGTATAATTTTTGATGTGGATGTCTGTGGGCCACGGCAACCACTTACAGTCAGGTGAACTGTGTGCTCGCTTGTCACCCTTATGCTATAAAAAACAAATAAAAATTAAAGTGAAATTTAGCTTACTTCATTAGTTCACTTTCTCTTTCTTGGAAATATTTGCCAAGGACTTCTAGCCTTGTGACAGCCTCTGCTGCTTGTTGACTGGAACTGCGGAAGGATTCCTGAGCAGTCTGAAGCTCTTCTGTAAGGCGGACTCTTTCCTTATGTTCTATCTAAAAATGATGGATTCAAAACTGTATAACTTTCATTATTTTAGTAATATTCTTTCAAGGTGTAGAATTTCTTTAATAATCACTAAGATCATTTTTGTATTTCTTTTTTGTTTAAAATAAGTATATGATTATGAATAATAATAATAATTAGACTTGCGACGAATATTTGTCGATTTATTCGGCCTATTCGACTACTTTTATCCTATTAGGCCGATTACCGAATTAAGAGGTTTTATTGTAGTCAGATAATTGGTAAAATGAAAATATTTTTTTTGTAACTTTTTTCTATAACTCTTAACATAGTCCATAGGTACATAATCAACTTCCATAATATGAAGATTAATAAAATAATCAGATAAATGTCTTTGGAATCGAATTATAGTAATTAAAGTGAAAGATAATGGTGCAGAAAGACAAATTTTTCTTCATTTTCAATTTGTAGTTTACTCTATAATTTCATCTCATAGACCAGGGTACGCCAACCTATTTTTCACCAGAGACCATTTTATCTTTTTGTTGTTAGCAAGAACCACAAAGTGAAAGAAAACACTATGTTAATCTAACAAAAATTTTTAAATACAGCTCTTAACATTATTAGGTAGTAAACTGAAAAGAAGCATTCATTAAAGGTATTATTTGAGTATTTATTGCAAAAGCTACTAGGTACTTAAAAATAACAAAAGTGTTATTTAAAATGATTAGGTAGGCAAAATATTTAAATCTTTCGTGGACCATATTTAAGCTCTCGCTCTCTGGTTGGGAATCACTGTCATAGACAATCCCAACTTCAGATATTAGACGCACTAAATAAACACTACTTCCTTCTCGGTTGAATACTTTTGCCTAATATTCGGCTATTCGGCCAGGAAGTCCGCAGAATATTCGGTATTCGGCGTGTGGTCGAATATACTATTCGTTGCAAGTCTAATAATTATAGAAAATGTTTGAATTAACTATCTTTTTTTAATAAATATTTATCTAATTTTGATCAATGCAAAGATGTGACATTAAACATTAAAATATTTTCGAACCGACTTCAAAAAAAGAGGTTATCAATGTATGTTACTTTTTAACATATGGTTGCATGTTGTCTTATGCCATAGAATAGAGCAAGTATGGTCATGAGTTCCGTTACATATTAAAATGCATATCTTAATACCTACTTCTGTAATACTAATAAAACATGTGCGCATATAAGAAGTCTAAGTATTTAAAAGCAATATTATTTAAACTGCAGGCCTTTGGATTTGATGTAGTATTTTAATCTCACTGACTACAAATCTATGAACTTATGGACTGTGTGAATTTTCCATGTGAATTTTAGCCACTGCTAGCAATAAAGATGGCATGATCTCATGAGATAAATTATTGTCATTGCTCTGACAATTTTTGAGCAGATCATATTCACACATCTCAAGACTGTACAATTACTGTCTTCAGCAATTATAAAATTAAGAACATCGTTCGCAAACCAGGTTTGAGTTGTTTGTGCAATATGACCAGCAGCAGTCTTGCTGAAAAGTTCATAGTACATTTAAAAAAAGGGTATCACTCAGACTTTACTACACGATGCAAGACAATGTCTTGATAAACTACATTCAGATTGTAATATTATTTATTGGTAGACTAATTACAATAGTAGACATCATGACAAATTGATGACACTGAAATTTTAAATTCATTAGGTTGAACATTTAAGATAATTTTTCTTTACTTAGTAATAATATTGTAACAGAAAAAGACCGACACAAAGAAGGTTTAGGAAACTATTATATACATATATTATGCTCATTACCTCATATTTACTCATATATGACTGTCTTTCCTCCAATGCTTTAGATAACTTGGCTTTGATTTCAGTATGATCTATGAGAGATGCAGCATCTACATTTGATGTAACACCACTCTTAAGTTCCTTAATTACATCCTAAAATAAAAAATGTCGATATTAAGAATTAAAACTAAGTAACAGCCAAACGTCTTAATACTGGGCATAGCCTATCATTTCTAAGAAAGTTGTCTCAAGCTTCAAGTGTCTTTCAGTGGACCAATAATAATAATATTTATATATTAATATAAAAACTTTTATATAGATATAAATAAAAACTTTGAATTAAAACAATTGATCATAAAAATATATTTTACACATATATTTTACATTTTTTAAAAATAAAATAAAATAAATTTAATAATTTTTAACATTCAGCGACAGATTGATCCTCTGCCAGTGTTTATAAAATATAGTCAGGAAGAGTCTGAGTTGCATACAACTGGCCGTTCCACAATGTAACACTGTAAAAGTCTTTGACATCAGCCTCTGCAAAAATTGCAGGCTCGCTGCAATACAGAGGGTGTGAAAAAATATGGATGGCATTGCGTTATATTGCACTCTGAGAATTGTTTTGTGTAATAATTCCTAATAATACTTAAACAAAGTAATCTTAACATCCCCAGAGCACTAAGCAAAGCGATGCACCAGCACGTTGCAATATGTCGCTAGAGAGGCCTCTAGTTCGCGCTCTATATGCAAGCAGTCTGACGGCAGGTTTTTTCGCATATGGATATAAGATTTCTAAGAGTATTGATTGATTTCTAAGAAACACCATGACGTCCGCACAGCTAAGATTGTTAAATGCTACTCCATTAATGTAGCATCCAATTTTGTCACTTATCAGCTACTCAACCAAGCCATCAACATGAAAATGTGAAAGGTCCGGAGAGTTCAGCTCTTCCTGACGTACCCCAGATTCTAATTTAAGAGTCACTACAAGTTATGTCGCTACACCTCACTTTAATAATTTTTTTCTTGTACCAGGATCTTACCAAGCCCAACACTGTCAGGGACATTGGAGTCATGCATTTTCCTCCATAATATATTAAAATTAACAAGGTCAAATGTACAGCTTAGATTTAGAAAATGGGCTTACAATGTGTTTAATTGACAGTTTAGCTAAATCAGTAGAAACACCAGCAAGAAAACCAAACTAAGCATAGCTTATCATTATATTTTTCGCAATTTCGGTCTGTAGAACCCTTTCAAACACTACTCACTATTGTGCTCATACAGATTGGTTGTTAATAGGATATATAGGAAAGGTTTAAATTGACCGTAACATTTTATCAAGAAGATTTTTATCAGCAAGATTATGTATATCTAAAAGGTTGACTGGTAGAAATCACTTCCGGAGTAATAAGACCGCCTATTGTACCTGCTATATTATTAATTTAATTTTTTTTCATTTTAATGTGTATCGGTGAACAATAAAGAATATATTGATGGACTGATTGATTATATCTAATTGTAAACACCCTATCTTCTTCTTCCTCATTAGGTTATAAAAGTGGAGCGAAGTGGAGTAAAAATATGGATATGAGCCTATACCACTAAGGAGGATTTGCTTTATTTGCCACAATTAGTAGGCAGATAAACAATATGGTTATGTCACCATTTATCAGTCGCCTTATTACAACACAGACATGATGAAATGGGGTACAAATATTGTGTATTGACAAGTATTTACCATAAACCTAATAAATGTTTTTAAATAATAATAAATAAGTATAATACTTACTTTGAGAGCTTCAATTTCATGTTTTTGTAATTCAATAGTATTATTTGCTTCAGATAGTTTATTGTTAATTTCTTCGAACTGCTTCTTTTGTTTTTTAAACTCATCTAGTGATGTCTCAGCCGATACAAATTTCAATTGGAAATTGTCCCTTTCTCTACTTACTGAAATTAATTCCTCTTCAAATGCTTGTACTTTTCCTATAATTTTAAAATGTAAAATCAATATTTAATTATATTATAATATTTGTATTAAGCACATAATTTTAAGTAGAAAATTTAATATTCCTGTAAATACTAATGTACAGTACAGTAACAGAAAGTAACTGCATGTTTATAAGTGTTTAGTATTAAACTTGTGTAGTTTTGTTATATCAAAATATAGTTTACGGATTACATTAAAAATAAATAAAATATAATAAATAGCAGTTGTTAATATTACCATTTAATTCTGTAATTTGCTCTTCAAACTGAGCTCTCTCTGACCAGAGCTCACTTAGAGTATTCTCAACCTCACTTAATGTATTCTGTAATTCACTAGCAGTATTTTCTGACACTCTTAAAAGCTTTTCATTATCGTCTAAAGAATTTCGTAATCTCTCGTTTTGCACCTTCAGTTCACTGATCTCCTCTTTTAGTGATTGTACCATATCATCCATTCCAAATGAACTATCCTCAATGCCGGCTAATTTATTTTTAGTATTGGCAAGTTCCTCTTTAAGTATCTCACACTCCTAAAAAATATTTGTATGTCTAAATGAAGAGTCAGTTATGTAGCTTCTAATTAAGTGAAAGAAAATGATATAGGAAATTGGGCTGACACTGAATGTGATAGCAATATTTTGAAAAACAAAAATAATTTGAAGTAAAAAGAAGTGTCAAGTGTTGCATTTATTTACCTTTGTACTAAAGAGTAAGTCCCTTTGCAAGGAATTAATTGTGCCAATAAGTTTGCTATCTTGTCGCTTATTCTCAATGTAGTAATATCCCAATGTAAACAGTAGCACAGTTCCAGCGGTTGTCACAAGGAAAGTAAGTAACCTATGTTTCTGGCTTAAACTTTCACCATCGCAATATTCATCTGTAAAACATGTTTCCCCTGCAAAATACACAATTATTTCAAAGTTATTAAGAAACATAAAACTCATATCATTAAATTCAAATAAATCAGCAACTAACATTATTATGAAAATAATGTTAGTTGCTGATTTATTAGGATTATTGATCATAAGGCTAACATAAATAATAAAAAAAAATTACTTATTGTAGAATGTAGAATTCTGAGTACAAAACTTTAAAGAGCAAAATTAAAAATAAAGTTTGGAATAAACTCAATGGACAAACATTTTAAAGAGTGATTTAGTAAGACAACATGAATGATCATACCAGCAGCAGCAAAGAGTGCTCTTGTTTCTCCATTCGTACCCATCACATTATTATAAGTAGAAATAATATACTGTATAACGGAAAATTCTTTGTTTTCTAGTTCAGGTGGAGGATTTACATCAGAATTGAATAAGTTTTCATAATGAGGAGTCTCAGTTGATGAGGGCAATGAATCTGCTATAGTTGAGTACATATCTGATAGAATACTTTCACTATTTTCTAGACTAGTTGCGGGACTTTCAGTTGCCATAGAATACAAATCCTCTATATTAATTTCAGTAGATGATGAGGCGAATGCATCTATATTAGAATCAGGTGTTACAGTATCATCTATGTTTTCGGAAGGAATAGTTGAAGCTCCCTCTAAGTTTTCCGAATAAGTTGTTGGTTGTGTAGTAAGTTTATCTGTAACCATATCTGGTGCTAGGTATTCTGTTGTTGATTCTACTATATTTGGCGATGGAGCAATGAGATTATTTGATTCTGTAGCCTCTGGTAATTCATTCAATATGTCAACAGAAGCAGCTGGAATAGTTTTTAAATTTGATGATGATGGTGATTCACCTTGTAAATTGTTTATGACATTATTATCTTGATTAGGAATGTCGTTTGGCATAATATTATTACTGCTTTCATGGGTGTAAGATACTTCAGGCTGTTCATTCACATGTTGAGCATGATTTTCAATATTGTTGGCAGGCACATTATGAGGTTCAATTGGTACATACGAATTATTATCTAAGTTTTCAATATCTTGGTTTGGTACAGAAGTTTGAAAACTCTCTGATATTTCAGGTATTGGTAGTGTCTGTGGGAGAACAGTGTTGTCTATAGAGATTTCTGAAGTGCTATTGGAAGACACATTTTCATTTGATTCTACTTTTTCATTTTGCAATGAAGGAAATGTCTCAGAACCAAGTTGTAAAGTGGAGTTTTGGAAATCAGAAATCTGTTCAATTTGGTCCACACTAACATCAGCAGATTTTTCCTGTATAATATTTTCAGTGGAAAAATCTAACTGGGCATTTGTACTAGAAAGATCTGATTTTTCACTATTGTCAGGTAGGTTTTTAATATTTGCCTTTAAAACAGGTTCAACAGTATCTTCTTTATTTTCTGAGGAATTATCTAATGTCTCAGAACCAAGTTGTAAAGTGGAGTTTTGGAAATCAGAAATCTGTTTATTTTGGTCCACACTAACATCAGCAGATTTTTCCTGTATAATATTTTCGGTGGTAAAATCTAACTGGGCATTTGTACTAGAAAGATCTGATTTTTCACTATTGTCAGGTAGGTTTTCAATATTTTCCTTTAAAACAGGTTCAACAGTACCTTCTTTATTTTCTGAGGAATTATCTATATTTTCAGCAGTTGTTTTTTCTTTGCTATTTATATTTTGTTTTACATTTATATTTACCTGGGCTTCAACATTCTCTATTATATTTTCATTAAGATCATCAGAAGCCTGTACATTATTACTTGTAGATTCCTTTATTTTAATTCTATCTTCAATGTCATGTGCAGCAATTTCTTGAAAAATTTGATTTTTACTTTTGGAATTATCTACGGCTGAAATATTATGTGAAACAGGGATTTTTTCTGTATTAACAGAATTATGATTCTTATTATCATTATTGAATTGGGATAATTTATCAATAGTATCAGAGCTTACATTCTGTGTTTCCTTAATTGTACTTAATTGAGATGAAAGCCCTTCATTAGAAATATTATTAGAATTTTCAGTAATACTTTCTTTTAGTATATTTTTACCTACTGTTTCAGTAGTGAAAATGGTTGTACCTTCAAAAACTTCATGAGGTTGTTGTACCCTATCTGGCTGAACATCTGTCTTAATATTGTTTTCAATAGGAACAATAAATTGAGGATTCTTTTCTATTATTTTAGACTCCTTTAAAAATCTTGAATTAACGAATCCTGATTTACCATTAATTTTAGCATACCATAATTCGGAATTGCTACCAGCTGATTTCATATACACAATTGCTTCAGATTTAGCAGGAAATGAGATGAGGTCTGGGTCGTCACTGTTATAGTTTAGAAGTGTTTTGGCTTTAGAAATAGGCTCTGAAATATTTTTAAAATTATGTTAGCACTATTTATGTATAATCTAAGAAGATTGATAAATGTTTCTGAACCACTTACCAGTGCATTTTTCATTTACACAATAAACTTTGTCAGGTAATCTACATTCAAACAATGATATAAATAACATAAACACACAAAGTTTTAACACAATCATTTTAGCATTATATTTACAGAATTCCTAAAATACTCAAGAATCAAACGTTAGGCCACATCATCTGTCATATTACCCGACAGCGACAGATACATTCCGTTTTACAGGATTACATAGGTTGTCTAATTTATTTATTTGATGAAATAACATTTTAATGTAAATAATGATATAAAATTATAATTACACTAATTATTTAGAGTAACTTTTAATACTATAAGAAAAAATATAGGTTTTGATGCGAATTTAAGATTTAAGGGGATTCGATTATGGTTATGGTATATTTTTTAGGACGGAACTAGGGATGTTCGATGATCATCGATGCTAGAAATTAAAACATCGATGTTTTAACATCGATGTTGCCACATGCTAAACATCGTAACATCGATGATGCCACATGTCAAACATCGAAACATCGATGTCAATGAGCCAATAATTGATTAATAGGAACGTGTGAACAATGCGAACCCGCGAAATCAATATCAACTAAATATTTCATCTCCTATTTAGATTTACTATTTAGATTCTTAAAGGCATCAATCACCTGAAAAATATCAAGATGTGTCAAACTCCCTCTCAAGTGTGAACCGTAATGTCACAGTTGTCACTGCTTTCGCTTTGTTATTCTGTGGTATCATTGTCGCCTGATAACTATTCTACATAAATGGATATACAAATAATGTTTTTTCTCTTGCTGTCTATACACACATAATTTTGAAACAATATGAATATACACAATCCATTTATATTTAGCTGTTTTTTGAGCTAATGAGTTTATTGTTTGCTTGAAGTTTATGAAAATAAATCACTGGGCGATTGTGAGCATAGACAATTTCACTGCATAATGCATTTTACAGTGCATTTTATAAACGGCTGTGGATACTTACTGTTTGGGTTGTCTGAGAAAAAATAGTGAACAAAGGTGACGGAAAAGTCTAATATTTTGTTTTTGTGAAGTTTGCTAATTCGCCCTCTATAATCACATTTTTTTTATTTCGCGATAGGAGTGGTTATTATAGAACCTACGTCTAAATCGTAAATTAGGTCTCATAGTAAATTTTTTCGTAGATTTTTGGTTGTATAGGAACATTTGAAGATCAAAATAATAATATTAATCATTATCGGCAAAAAATATAACAAATGAACTAAACATTTGTTAAGTTTTGCCCATTTTTTAATTACTATTTAGCACTAAATGTTTTATAAATTTCTTTAATTTCATTAATAATAAACTATAAACTACACTACAAATTTTTTGTTCATCTAATTTTAACCTACTAATTAGGTACATGTGCGATAACATCGATAATGACCAACATCGATGTTTTAAGTAGGATAAACATCGAACATCGATGTTAAGCTATCGATATCAACATCGATGTCATCATCGATGTTTCTGCAACATCGATCACCCTAGACGGAATGTTTTTTTTGTGTTAGTTATGGTGATGGCACTGGCTAAAAGGCTTTCAGCCATATGGAATAAATGAATCGCTGTAATTATAAAGATAGATTTTGCACATTAATGTCATTAATTCACTATTTATACTAGATACAATAGTTAATTACACCATTTAAAAATCTACTAATACTAATATACACATATTATTTTAAAATAATTATTGGTCACTTAGGTTTTAACACTAGAGTGCACGCGCCCTTAAATACTCCTTGAGCTCACGCGCGGGCTACATGTGTAGACCAGTTGCGGATCAGTTATTTCTCTGAATAAGACACAACAATGAGTAAAACACAGCATAAAGTTACTAAACATCTTTATTTTTATCAAATTGGTTTATAAAATCAACAAAATTTTGATTCCTTAATATAATTTGAAACTTAAACGTAAACCTCTTAGAAATCAATAAATATTTGGAAGGGTTGATATCTCTAAGTTTTATTTTCATTTAAGAACATAATATTTATCATTTAAGGCATTTATTTGGCCTAATTGAGTCTATAATCAAACTAACGGGTAAAAAATCAGTCTATTGGCTTACATTCAGGACACACGACTGCCTGATGTTCGTCACAAATACGCCTCATACATTTGCTGCATTGTTAGCGCGTGCTACTGTCACGAGCCCTGCTGTAAAAACACATCGATCCAAAGGCATATTTTGTTGTAGGGGTTGTTCTGCCAATCTTAGAAGTAGTCTGCATTTCAGTTTAATACCTCTGGGTATATTTTGTTGGGATATACGACGCTCAATAGAAGGTCGTGCAAGATCAAATTCAACATCTAGGAGGTATTGACGACGGATTAATTCCATTTGATGGTTGTTCATCTGATATCACCAAACTATTTATGCCTGCCATGTTTAAAAAATTGTATAATATCGTGAGAGGCCATCGGTTACTGTTGCGAGAAACGTCATTTTGTCTACACACTTTATCAAAAATATCAACGCCGTATTTACGTGATTATAAAATGTGATGATTTCAGGTTTTCTAGCATCGCCAGTCGCAGCATCAATTTTGTCATCATTGTAGAGGGTAGACAATAACAATACCCGCTCCAAATGTCGTCGTATTCATTATCCTCCAGCAGCCATCTTTGTATTTACTAGCACAATCTGATCGAGTTACTCGTCACCTAAAAAGTGAACAAAACAGTATAAAGCTACATGAAAAATCTACAAATACCAACAACAAACACTTAAAAATTAATTAACTGTACATTTTGTAGTAATACTGCAAGAAATGTGTCATATTTACTTCAATTTCACTACTTGCTCACCAACTTCAAGGACGATTTTTGAAGACATTCTTGAGCCACGGGAGTCGGCACGCTGCTGGCGGTAGCGGGGGTAATACTTGAGGAATACACCTACACGATTGCGCTATAGTGCGGCAAGTTAAAATGATATACGACAATATTACACGCTGGGTTACATATGTAGCCCGCGCGTGCACTCTAGTGTTAATAAAGTTTTTACACCTAAGATTGATAAAGATTATCAAATTAAAAAGTAATTCAAGTGTTTTTTTAAGGTGTATATGCTGCTAACTAGCATATGCACCTTAAAAAACGCTTGTGTGAGTTTTTGTCCTCGTCGCACACAGTGTGAGCACTATTTACTGCCTGGATAAAACATCATACTCATATTGGATGGAGTCTGTGTATTTAAGTTAAATTCGTATATCTGTGTATTTAAGTTAAATTCATGTTTGTTTGTCCATTCCAAGGAGCCAGTATAAGTTTCATCAATCAGGCAAATAAGCAAGTAATAATCAGGTAAGTCAAGTAAATAAACAAATAAATCAACAAGTAAATAGTAAAGTACAAAGTTGGGTAAATAATCAAGTAACTCACACATACACTTTTAAGGTACGAAGTAGGGTCATAGATTGTCTTACCCCGCTACTAAACGCTACACTAACACGACACAGCATGTTAAAGCAAACCACCTTATTGTTTGTTGAGTCCTATAAATCTAGCCAGTTTATTTGTTAGAAATAATTTAATGCTACAACTATGCATCACTAAAACTTTGCATGCGTAACACCAAGTAAAGTTTTCACTGAGTTTTCAATGATTAATTTAGACTATTACGCTGAACTTATTTAAGTTGAGCGCTGGGTTGATACAGGCATTAAAGTCTCTGTATAGGGACCCAAGTGTTTGTGTTAGGATCAACGGGGCCTACTCGGACTGGTTTGGCATCCATAAAGGTGTCAGACAGGGCTGTGTGGCTTCCCCATGGCTGTTCAATCTATTTATGGACAGTTGTTTGGAAAATTTGAAAGTTGAAGAATGCGGGTTAAGATTGGGCAATTGTACGCCGATGATCAAGTCATATTTGTGTCGTCGGTGGCCGAGTTGCAAATGATGGTTACACTGATGAATAGGTCATTAAAAGATAGGGGAATGAAACTGAATGCAAGTATGACAAAAATTATGGTTTTTGAAAGGGAAGAAAGTAAAATAAGAATAGAAGGGGAATAAGAATAGAAGGGGAGTTGGTCGGCAAGTAAATGAGGTTGTATATTTGGATGTGTATTCAGCTGGGATGGGGAATATGATAAGGATATACAACGACGAGTGAACGCAGGAAATACAGTAAATGGGTATCTACACTCTATTGTGAAAAGTCAGAATGTGTCAAAAAAGGCACGTAATATGGCAATTTATAATGCTGTGTTAGTCCCAATTTTAACTATGGTAGTGAAAGTTAGGTGCAGCAGAAAAAGCACGAAGAGTAGAATAAATGCAATAGAAATGCGGTCGTTACGGTGTATGTCAGGGCTGAATCTTAGTGATAGGGTGAGAAATTGTGTGATAAAAGAAGAGTGTAGTTTGCAAGATGATATTGTGACCAGGATTAAGAAATTAATGCTTCGATGTTTTGGTCATGTAGAGTGAATGAATGAGGAAAGAATGGTAAAGCAAATTTATGTAGCAGAAGTGAACGGAAGAGTCAGAAAGGGACCTCCTAGGCGAAAGTTTAACGTCCAAATTGGCGATATATTGAAAATGGGCCAAATTAAGAGTACCTTTAACTGATGAGCATGTATGTGTAGGTATATGGATGTGTACGGGGCGAGAGAGGTATGTCAGGATCGTGCTAAATGGAAGTCTGTAGTCTCTGCCTACCCCTCTGGGTGACAGGCATGAGTGTTTATGTATGTAATGTATTTTTAATCTAACCGTCACTAGTTAGTAGTGACCGGCGTTGGTAGTGATTTTGGGTCAACGAACTTGAATGATATTATTATTATGGACATACCCCGGGATTCCCGGGAATGTTCTTCTGAATATCAATGTTTTGGGTATTTTTTAGCTGCATGAGAAGTTTAGATGGTTGTTGTCTATGGTTTGACATTTCTGTTCGGTAAGGTTTGGCAATTCATCATTGTAGTGTTTGTGTTCATTTAATCGATTCAATACACGGTCTCATACACACAAGTAGTGGGGGGTAGGAAGCTGCTGCCGTTACGGTGAATAGCAAGCGCTATTGAGCCGTGCTGACTGATTT